CGGTCCGTTTTATTAAAAAAAAAAAAGTCAAAAGACACGGGTCCGTGACTAATGGACCGGTTCCGGGCCGAGTAGTCATGTCCACTGAAACATGCGAGTTTAGCCAACGGATTGAATCTATCTATCTGATTAGAGCACAATCTCACTATTATCCTGTCCTACAGATTATGAACCAAAAGCGTCAAACCAGGTTCTCTAATTTTAATGGGCTACATTTGCTCCACTTTAATATCAAATTCCAAACAAAGCGTCCCATTAAAAAAATTCCAATAGAAGTTATACGAATATTTCAATACCAGAATTTTGAGTTAGAATAATCCAACGAATACCAACACTAAAATAATTATTTTGAAATTATTTTTTTTCTAAAAAATGTAGTCAAAATTTTGATGACTCCAACAACATTTTTCCCACATTTTTGTCGTTGATAGAATTTCCATTGTCGTTATTTTCCCGCCAAAAATTTCGATCGTTAGATTCGTCAAGATCCAATAGAAATTTTATTAGAAAACCAATTCTAATAGAATATTTATTAAAATTGTGATCAAAATATATAGGGGTTGAAATTTGATAATTTTGTACCAAAGCTTGTTCTTAGGATGGTGCTGATATATTACTTTGGTTCTCTTCCAAATTTCCAACAAAGAAATGTTGTTTCCATTAGTTTAAGCTGCATTTTTTTTATTCTTCCTCTCCTGCAAATCCCATATTTAATACTTGGAGATCATATTTATTTATTTGGTTTTCATTGATAGTTTTATCCATAACTGAAGTAATTCATATCCTTACGGGCGTATGTATTGAAATATCACTTTCGAGTTGTCTTATATTGATTATATAAGAAAAATGACCTAGTGGGCTACTCTTCCCTTCACCAATTAATTTTGGGATGGAACCTCACGAAGGTGCATCTAGATTCACCCTCTTATGGTGCGTTTCATCTGGTGGGACCGCAATCTCTTCCCAGTTCTAGTAGTATGTCTACCTGGTGGTCAATATAACATGCATATTTATAAATTTGTTTTCCCTCATATTATTATTGCTAGTTTTCTAATTTGTCCATCTTGACCAAATTCAAATTTTTTTTTAAAA